ATGTAAATGTATAAAACATCATAGATGTTTCCTTTTATTCAACTTTTTGAGCTCATAGTTGTTAGTTTGATTCTTAGTTCAGTTGAATCTTCAAACCTACAATTTCTATCTACTACCTGCACCAGAGAACTTGAAATATATAGATGAATATAGTAATTCCTAGTAGGTAACAGTAACAGTTTTATTGGGGTATTATTCCCCATCATTTCTAGAGAGTTATGCCATTTGATAATCCATTACCAAGCCCATTACTGAATTCATACAACATTCATTATGATTACAATATTTACAAACAGATAAATCAAAATACCTACCTAAAAGTAGGTACCTACCTTGTTATGAATCAGAGCAATACTACACAACACCAAATTGGAACTGACAAGAAAACTTTGCTTATCTAGAATAGAATAACACACCTGGATAATAGACTATAGAGTGTGGAAAAAATACTAGAAACACGATTCAAACAATGATCTTGAAACCCAATCAATTATGCCCTTTTGTTGTGCATCGTACCACAAGCCACAGCCCCCTAGGGGGCTGAGACTGTATTCAAAACTAATCATGGAACTGCCAATAATGATAACGACATGGCATGATACAAGAAACCAGGAATTTAACTTGATTTGCAAAATTTGATAAACAAAAACAAGGTTGCACACAAAATGGTAGTGGAATGAAACTGTGATATGACATACCGTCTTCCCGGTACCTACCAAACAAATAAGCAATGGCGTTTGAAACCCAACAGGAATTTGAGATAAGATTTATTGAAACTGCCATTGATGTGTACATAGATTATTACCTTATGAATTGAAGTGTTCTCTTCGTACATCAACGAAATGTATATTGTTAGTTCTCAGCTTACTCTATTTCGGCGTCGGCTTTGTCAGATATTCCACTGTACACAAACACAATTTTCGATCACGATTTTTACACTATTTTTCAATTCACAACACAAAATATTATCACTAACTATACAATTAACTATATACAATTTACAATAGATAAAAGATTCGCGATTTACGCCATTTATACAGGATGAATTAAAGAGATTTAAAAATGACAACAACTTATAAGAGCTGATTCGCCATTTTCGTTGAATGCGCGCGCATCATGAAACTGCAAAATGCAGAAGCTTCTGTCATTTGTCTGAGAATACGCGACCCCTGAAACTAACGCAACTATCAATACGTCTCTCAGTTAGCATGGCTGTATACCCACATACCGTGAAATTGCCTACTGATTTGCAGAGGTGGATCCAGGTATTATTATTTACTGTTTTATAGGAAAATATCCTCTATATACAAATATTGGAATTCAATTATTAGCTGTTAACATCCTCTGACATATCTTCTCCTCGCAGCCTTCTTTATCATATGGCACATGCATTTTTATTGAATTTCTATGGTAGTTGAATGAAAATGTTGTATGAGTTTATTTGGTTCCTATTAATAATATGATAGGTACTCAATTTCCATTGTAGTTTATATTTATTTGTTTCATTTTCATTTATGTTGAATGATGAAAAAAAAAATGTGTTCAGTTTTTATGATACACGAATTGATAATGAATCCTCAATTTCTATGGTAGTTGAATAAAAATTGTAAAAGAATCCATTTGGTGCATATAAAGGCATATAAAAATTATACTTCAATTTCAATAGTATACAGTCTGTCCAAGATAAGGTTGCACAGCATGTGGGGATCTCGGAAACGGTAGGAGATACGAAGTCGGTTAAATGGGGAAAAAGTTGCGCATTCGAAGGCTCATACCAACAGCCTTCGAAAATTTTCAAAATTTTTTCTAGTTTTTCAGTTATATCGAAAAAAGTGAATTTTTGAAATCTCTATTTTATTTTTTTTCTCCGTTATTATTAGAGATACAGGAAAACTGAAAATACTTTTTCATAGCAACTTTTGATGACGTTCAACGTGGTGATACCGATTTTTCTATGCGACGTTTCGTATCCGTAGAACCATTATCAACTTTTGTTTTTTAAATACGGCCCTGATAATTCTTTCACAGATTCTGAAAGCTTTTTTTATTCTGAATTCAACCATGTATTATACAAGGTGGTTTGAATGTGTTTCGAACTATTTTTAGCCATCATCAATGTTTTTTTCGAAATTCCAAAGGAAAAATGCCGTATGGTGAGCTTGAAAACAAACGTCTCTTGCCAGTCATTTAATTAGTAGCTTGCTGCCGTGCTGCGGAAAATCTAAAGGTTATCAGAAGGTCATAAGGTAATATGAGGAAGGAAAATATCGTTTCTGCAAGAGGAAGCAGATTACTTTTGACCTCTTGGCCTAAATGAACCTTGCGGGGAGTACTTTTCCTCTAGATCAAAGTCAAATAAAAATTTGGAAAATGTCTTACTATTTTGAATTATTAGATATATACCTACACCAAGAATCCACACTGTATTCACCCTGCTATGTAAACCATATAGGTGAGTAATTAAGCAGAATGTTAGAAATATTCACCTAGATTTCCGCTCAAATTGCGTAAATTTCAACGGATGAAATGCTTTGAATGTGAATAACGATTGTTCTTGAAATTCCCTAGATTGTTTCTAGGCAAAGGGATTTCATAAACATTCTCTTATGGATCATGAAGTTTATTATTTTCCCTTAGGTATATAATTTCTATTCACTTCAAGGACGAAACTGATATAATCTGAGTACATAGTTATGTACACATCAAAACAGTAAAGAATAATAATATCATAATCATTATTACCCATCAGGAACCAAGATTGGATGTCGAGGAGTATGAGAGGTACAACTAGCAATATATTTCAATCGTTATAGTTCTGAGAAACTGAAATATGGACCTATTTTCACTATGAATAGTACTTCTTTTCAATTCTATAATTGAAATCTGTCGCAACGACGTCGCTGCGATGTCAGAGGGATGTTATTTTGTCCCACTCAAGTTTCATCCATGCGACGTCGCTGCGATAAGTTCTCTGCGATATAACAGCGATATATTTCATGCAATGTTATTGCAATATGTTATTTGTGATGGAAAAGCGATGTGTTTTGAAACGAAGAAAAGTTTCCCAAAACATGATGTGATAATTGGTATACCGCTGACTTCTGATGACATCTAATATTGATTGTTATTGTGACTGGTTGATGGTCCCTCTGGTCTCCAATCCATTCAATCGTCTTTTTAGCAGCGCTATTCTTGGTACCTAAGAATCCCTATCAGAATGAAATCTGTAACTAGTATTTGTAAAAAAAATATGAAGTGTGTGTCGGCGAGATGTAAGCAAACCAAGTATAGTTTGAAAGCATTGTCAATCAATCAACTTTATTATTCCCAAGAAACAACATTTGTTTATAGCAGGGAACATAATATAAATATATTTGACAAAATGAGGAAGACAATAGAATATAAGACTCGCACTCAAGAAGACATTTTTTTTTTAAGTTCAACTGAAAATGATTCTCAATTCAGGGGCCAGGTAGCCGTGCGGACAGAATGTCAATATTCTAATCCGCATTCGCTTGCCGGTCGTGGGTTCGATTCCCAGCGACTGCAGAAATTTTTCTGATGGCCCAAGAAAGTGTTTGGGATCACATGTTAAAAGGTATGGCCCCCGTCAATCCTGGCTGTCACAAGACTCTCGAAGACTTCTGAGGGTTGCTCGTAAGTGGGCAACCGAATGACGGATAGAACAATTTCACAATTACAATTTACAATTGACTCAGCTGTTAGGTACCCAGCAGTCAACTCTATGCAAGTTAACTCAAAACTAGTATGGGACTGCTTAGAAACCCTAAATGAACTGGGCAGTCAGAACAGACTGACTCTAGCATACCAGCACATACAGGGTACGAGGGCAATGAAGAGACAGACTCACTTGCCCGAGCAGGAGCAAACAAAGCTCCTAATGGCCCAGAACCCTTTTGTGGTATTGCGAAAGCTATACAAAAGACTAGTATCAAATCATGGAAGCAAACCAAATCTCAAGAATGGTGGAACAACTCGCCAGAAATGAGACAGGCAAAAGAGTTTATTAAAAAACCATCGCCAACATTCACAGATATCTACTCAGCCAGAAACGAAGTTCAACTAGAATACTAGTGGGACTTCTCATAGGGCATTGTAAGCTCAACAAACACATGAGTACGATAGGTCTGACTGAAGAACTGCTCTGCAGGTTCTGTCAGGAAGAGGAGGAAACAGCAGTAAACATACTTTGCCACTGTGAGGGCTTGTCAAGACTAAGGTTCCTTAAGCTGGGTGAGGAAAAACCAGAAGCCCAATGATACACAGGGGATCTGATAGCTAGCCTATGGAGTCTTATAGAGAAGGCGGGGCTAGCCGAAGAACTCTAATCGATTTTGAGGGCAGACACAATAGATCTGAAAAGGTCGCGGTGCGGAGGCAGATAGCCCGAAGGCCCCATTCTAAATCTAATCTGATCTAGGTACCCATTGGAAAACTATAGTAGTTGTACGAGAAAACTATAAAAAGGAGATAAGATGTCAATATTACAGGAGTAGATGTTTCTTGAATTCCTTTTTAGATTTCTCAATCCTATCAATCAGCTTCAAGTTATTTGGTAGTGAATTGTATTGTATCATTCCATTGTGATAGATGGATTTTTTACCAATATCTGATTTAATTATATTGACAAAAAAATTATCTGCCTGTCTAGTTGTATGGTTGTGGTGACTACTATTAATTTGGAAAACCAAATTTAAATGCTTTTGACAAGAATGAACGAGTGTATAGTCATAGTAGGATCCATATAATTTAGTCTGTATATACATTTGATAATTTTATTTTGAAGAGTTTTGAGAGGCTTCATAATTGATAGTTTTGTTGATCCCCATACAGAAATCAAAATATATTCAAGTTTAGAATAGATCATTCACGAATTAGCGGTGTTTTTTGAGTCCCAAGCAAAATCGCGTACATTCGTGACGTCACGACCTGCAAAAAATTCGCGGAACCTCCGACCTTCGTCTCATTTCCACCTGTGGCTGTGGCTCATCCTCCACATCCATGATACGCTGCGGCGTTCTCTTGTTTCTTGTCAGTTAAACGCGATCGGCGTTGGCGTCGGCACCGCAAAACAATTGAAGGCGCGAGCGCTGTCAATGCTGTCATGAGGTACGACCGGCGACTGCTGCTGTGGTGCCTCACAGTGGTTACAGGGGGCCTCTCGGTGTTCGCAGGGGGGTCCAAAGGGGTTTTCTACCCCTATCATGCCACGCATCCCTCTTATTTACCACCCCAACGGTCGCAACGGCAGGTCTATGCCAAACTTGTCATGGCGGATGTGATCAACAGGTTGGGGGTGAAATTATTGGCGGTAAGTTATTTTCTCTAGGGCTCATTTTTCAGGTCAAATATAGACTTTTTTCCTATAAACATGTGTCGGCAAACGTTTGGTTACCGATCTACAAAGCGATAAAAGTTTCAAGATTCAGATTATGATAATTTTTCAATTTATAGCTGTTTCCGAGACTGTTTCAGTTTTCGAGATATTCAGATCTAATTTGAAGTGACTGTGAGAATTTACAGAGAGATATACAGGGTGATTCACATAAGAACCGACATAGAGCAGAAGCATGTAGGGGGTCCCAAAATATGGCAATTTAACGCAACTTATAGATATAGGCTTTGAAAGTGAAGTTATAAATTTTGAAAAAAATCAATATCTCCGTTATTCTTGAACTTAAAGCAACCAAATCTGGTACACTTTGTGGATGTATTTAGGGTGTTACTTGGCAGTAACTAGAGTTTAATTGAAACTTGTAAAGGGGGTATACCGGGTGGCGCACCATTAATATTCAACATAATTTTGTTAACCCTTGATGGATTCCAAAAATCTTTGCTTTGTTTCGTGAGCAATTCAATTCTGAAACTTTTCTTACTCTAGTAATTTTTCGAAAAACCTCATCATTTTCATCAAAAACTCGAATAACTGAAAGCGCGCGGTCTATTAATTGGTGTGTTATTTCAAATCATCGAAAATTCAAAAGTTGACTATGAAAATAAACGTCAAACTTGACAATGAGGCAAGTGAGTTGTTCAATTAAGTAATTGTTGTTTGAGTGTTTTTAAAATGAACGGGAAGTTTTCTTTTAACGAGCAAGTTGACAATGCTGTTAGTGCTATGCCTATAACTCCTTAGGGAAGCAACTTGGTATAGAGGTAAGTTGCGTTAAATTGCCATATTTTGGGACCCCCTACATGCCCCAGCCCTATGTCGGTTTTTATGTGAATCACCCTGTATTTTTAGGGGTCATGACTTTTTTCGCTACATAAACTTTTTTTTTTATTTCAATCAACTCGCGAATTACAGAAAATGATCACAATTTATTTTCTTGATAACTGTTGAAGATGCATGAAAATCACAAGATGTATATGAATAAAACAATTAATTTATTTCGTATTTTGAAATCTACCAGCGGCGCACCACAAAAAAGTTCATGAAGCGAAAAAAGCTTGTCTCTGAAAAAATATCTTCCTGTAGATTTTCACAATCTTTCGGCTCGGTCTACTGCTTGTTGTAAATCCTGAAACGTGACCTTGTCTTTCAAATTTGATTAGAATATAGTTATTGAAAACTGAAAGAACTATAAAGAAGTAAAAAAATCTCGAACATCCGAAAAATAAGCTCCGGAAATCTTGATACTGAAATTTGAAACTATAATGTACAGAATGGGCCAAATTGAACACTTTTAAAAGGAACGTCTGAATCCTCGAAACTATAGATAGAAGAAAACCGATCTCAGTGCATAAGCGGCAATTTTCATAACAAAATCAACGGTGAAAACCGGTGAAAACCGCATATCGATATCTACTAGTAACAAGGCGTTTTTAGAAGGATGTCTCGGTGTTTCGTTTCCACTCGATATCTACCTTCATTTTCTTTCATTCTTCATTTTACTAAATTTGCTTATCTTCACTACCACCCGAAAGGCGAGTGAGAAAGAAACGAACTTCACTTACTGGGTGGTCAAAGATAATGTCCCGTACCTCTGTATAAGACACAACTAATGAAAGGTGGGTGATTTGGAGTTTGGACTTCAAACTAAATAAATGATTTTGAATATTTGGATTATGATCGAAAAAGAAGTTGTTATAATCAATTGTTTTGAAAATTATCAACCTTCTGATGGCCCAGACCGAATTCGAAATTGATAATTATTAGACGCCCAAAGCCTTCAAACTATACCGTAATAACAGCCATTAATGCGAAAATTGAAATCCTCGTATCAATTTGTTCTTGTTGAATAAAACTCGACAGGAAACGTGGTACAAAACTTCTAATTAGCAAGAGATCCAATTTCCCAACAAATATCGAGTTTTGTCATAAAAAACTGCATAAATTTGAAGTGAATATTCCATTCAACCCAGTACAGGTAGTTCAAATCTTGCTGACATTTTTCCCCAATATTCCATTTTAATCGAATTCATAGCGATACATAAACTTGATTTCAAGGATGATGAGGTAAGAACTTGTCGAGATTTTATAGAAAAACTATTCCGAATTCGCATTCTCATCTGAATTTAAATTGGAAATGAGAGACTCATCTTGACGCATTTTGTGTTGGCAATATACAGTGTGTCCGTCTTTTCAGGAACAAACCCTAAAATCTCAGTTATGAATAACACGATTTTTTAAAAATATTTGTGATGATTGTATGTAAGAACAATATGAAGTATTTGGCATTGTGAACATTTTTATTTACCATTGGCGTGCGGTGTGTGGCGGGGGTAAAAAACGGATTTATTTGGGAAAAAAATGGGCTCATTTTAGATAACTTTTTCTATCTGATTCAGATTTAGCATCACCAGAAACCCCCAATTCATAATTTCCAGATCCCAAGTGCTTCAAAAAATATTTCTAAATCCCGCGTTTCATGACCACACGACCCTAAAATCTCAGTTATTAATGATGCGATTTTCTCGAAATTTCGATTAATAACTGAGATTTTAGGGCGGAGTCATGAAAAGCGGGATTTTGAATTTTTCTTGAGATTTTGAAAATATGAATTGGGGGGGATTTGGAGTTGCTGATTCTGAATCTGATGAAAAATGTTATTCAAAATAAGCCCTATAATATCCTTTTCCCAAATAAAGGCCGTTTTTGTACCCCTTAACTTCGCACGCCAATGGTGAATGAAACTGTTAAGCCTGCTTAATACCTACTTCATTGTTCTAACATACAATCACCACTGAAATTTCAAGAAAATCGCATCATCATCAACTAAGATATTAGTATGTTGTGTGTCATGAAAAGTGGGATACTCCTCGGGACACACTGTATATAAAGCCCAACAATCCGTAACGAATCAGGAGGTCATCTATACCTCGAAATCCAGTTGAAAAGCAATTTTCGCTCTTTTTAATGTACAAAAGGCTTTCTTTTGTGCGTAATAAATAAGAAGCCAATCTAAATGTTCCGTTCAGATTTGATTTTTTCTAGTTTTCTTTATACATTTTCAGAGAAAATTCGCTTCACTATTCAGGTTCGAAAACTGTACTTTCAATTATTTATGGTACTTCCACTAAATCACTTTGTATGTGAAGTGATCCATTCTAACTAATACTAGATATACATAGTGTTCTGTTATTCCCTGTAGTTTTGTTTTGATAGAAATTAAAATCATTCTTACTGATGGTCTAACGCTCTCGATATGTAATAATGTTATATATAATATGAATCATTATTATCATAGCGAATGATATATCTGAACTATGTTTGCATTCGTGTTTTTATGTCTAGGTCAAAATTTCATACGGTCTAGCTAGATTTATCACTGATTCATCTACAAATGAGTTCAATACTCTTTTTTTATATCTTTATGGATCAAATAAATAAACATGAATTTTGCTATTTCATAATATATTTTTTCTGTGACGGGAAAAAGTTTGGCATTTCATCTCTGTTGGTAGGTTATAAAATGTCACTTTTCATAAATTACTTTTTTCCCGGATATATGTCACATATATATACACTGTTGATGGCTTTTGTTGTGCTATAGTTCCGAAAAATGAGTCAATAATACCGTCTCCGAGAAGAAGTCCGTTTATCTTCCATTCGACATCGCTGTTAAGTATATTACCAAACAACCACTAAATTCGCAATTTTTTGGAATCAAATCGCAGAATTAGACTGACAGAAGTGACATCAGATATTTGATTACTTCAAAAGAATGATAAAGATGCCTACAACGCAGGTGTCCCTATACTGTTAAAAACTTAAAATTTCACGTCGATAATTTTCAGATTTCAAAATAATGTGATATCTTCTCAATATTGATTCGTCCTTTCTTCAGTCACAGAAAAAAATAGTGTATTATACACGGGAAAAATATTAGATTTTAGCTCATGGTTTTTTGTCTCCCTCCGCTACGCGTCGGGATAAAATACAATCTGGAGCCAAAATCTACTACTTTTTTCCCTTGTATAATAAATAACTATTCATGATATTTCCAAAACTTGTAACTAAAGCTATATTGAGAAATGTTGCTTCTTAATTTCGTTATTTTCAACTTCATAAATCAAATTTCAATTACGAATCTGTGACTTTTCAAATCACGAAAATTTGGAAAAAGTCGACTGTAGGACGCCGAAACTAATGAAAAAACTTGGAAGTAGATAATGCTATGCGGATTGTCTAAAGAATTAGGAAGGGAATGCCTGATGGTCAATTTTTTATTAACAGAGATATTCTATGCAATTTGGGACCTGCTTGTACATTCATCAAAACTTTCCATTTCGAATAAGAACTGTTACTAATCAAACAATCAATTTTCACGTACAGTTAGAATTATTGGAGGATATCGATAATCAATTAATTATTGTTGTCACTGTGTTTTTTTCTATTATATAAATGCATCACTTCGGGTTTATTATTGATGATATGCCTCAATAAATCTACTACGTATGTTTCAACAAAACGACACACTTTTTATGAGGCCACAGAATTATTTCATATGAATTATAGGACATTTCCTGAGACTTGTCATTTTACCTACAAACGTCAAAAAATGACCAGTGTAATTTCATACTCCTTCTCCCAATGAGGAAGAAAACATTTCCGGAAATTTGTTTAGTTGCTATGGCAACGATACAAAATAATTGATAAAAAATGTAAGGTGTGAAATTTTCAATAAAAAAACACTGACATTGGGTGAACACAAGATGATATTCTTATATGATTTGAAATAGCATCAACTTCTTTGCTTCTGCAGATTCAAAATGAATACAACGAAAATAACATTGCCATATCTCCATACGGCGCCTTGAGCGTCCTCATAGCCTTAGGAGAGGGTCTCCAAGGGGACGCAGTTCGGGAAATCCAGCTGGCTGCGCAGATACCAAATGATATCACCATCATCCGGCATGGTCTCAGAGATATCAACCGAGATTTACAGGTATAATTTGATCAAAACACACACCAAAAGAAGAACAAAGCATCTAATGCACTTACAATTTTCTAGAGCTACTTCATTCCGAAGGAGGGATTTTTAGCTGGTTTAACACTGAACTACGACAACGTCTCATTGAAGCCACAGTATCAAGATATTCTGATTTACTATGGATACGACATAACAGCCTTCAATGTAGCCTTGTATCCACCTCCTCAAAAGCAGTCTCCACCGGAATCAACAACTACCACCACTAATCAAACGACTACAAGCACAATAGCACCAATAAATACAAGCCCAACACAAATTACTGAAAGATCAATAACTATTGAGACAATTACAAGCACTCAAAGTACTACAATGGAAACGAGTACTAATCCAACTACAGCCAATCCAACTAGCACAATGGAAGTTAGTTCTACTCCGACTACAGCCACTCCAATCACTACAATGGAACCTAGTACTACTTCAACTACAGCAATTCCAATTACTACAATGGAAACTAGTACGACTCAGACTACAGCCACTCCAGTTACAACAATGGAAACTAGTACTACTCCAACCACAGTCACTGCAACTAGTACACCTGAAACAAGTTCTTCCCCAACTACAGTCAGTCCAATTACTACAATGGAAACAAGTACCACAACTACAGATACTATGACAACAACTATACAACCAGTCACTACAATTATAACTATTACAAATACAGGTGAGCCAAGTAACACAAGCACAACTAGAACTATAATACCAAACAATACATCACCTTCCAGTACAAGTATTTCCGAAACTAACTCCACAACTAAAATTGATCCTTTCACAACCTATTCAAGTAATAGTACTTTGAGTACCACACCAAGCTATATCACACCAATCAGGACTATCAATACTGACACTCGGTCCGCATTTCTTGCACCATCCAATCTAACCAGCGTGAACCTATCTAAGCTAAGACATTTTAATCAGCCACTAACTGGGACTGATACTGGTGCTCATCTTTCAGAAGTTTCAACAGAAAGTATCGTTACTACTACTTCATCTGAGCCTATGCCCCCAACAACAACATTATCAACCACGCAGAATGTGGAAGCTATTATATCCACCCAAACAACACCTGTCGATTCGACATCTGAACTACTAACCAACATGCCTACTACAGTACTTTCTGTTCAATTGACAACAACAGAAGAAGAAACGACAGAATACAAGATGGAGAGTACTACCGAAGCACCTGTTGAATTAACTTCAACGGATAAAACTGAAACTGAAGGTACCGGTACCACAGAACAGAGAGTTATATCTACCGAAGCGATGACAGAAGAGACCATAGAACAAGAAACAACCGAATCAGTGACAGATGAAACCACGGAGCAACAAATCCCGACAACTGAAGGGATGACAGAAAGTTCTATGGCGACAACTGAAGCACTGATAACTGAAGAGATGACAGAAAATTCCATGAAACAACAATTGGCGACAACTGATGCCACTATGACTGCACTAGGCTTCGCAGGATCCCCAAAACAAAAGAGAATGAGCAAACCTAGCCCTATTTCTCTAAACAAGTGGTCATGGACCGACAAAATCCCTAGCAGGAGAGTTGCCAAGTCTGTTTCAGAGTACATCAAGTACCAGAAACCGTTCTACTATACGACCTACAGCTACCCTAGACCCGTCAACCCCTCGATGAGCCAAGAACCCCCATATTTCCTAGTCCAAGGACGTTACAAGGAGTACAACGTCAACTTTATGCGGTACAATACAATGTTGCCGGCTTGCGACGTCGCGCATTTAGATGCGCGTGCTCTGAAGTTCCCACTCGATCGGAAGGAGTACTACCTTCTTATTCTTCTGCCAAACAGAGATAATGGGGTAGACAAGCTAGTGAGGGACCTGAGGTTCAATGGGGACTTGAGGCAGATTGTGGATGGTTTGAGGACGATGCATGTGGACGTCACTATACCTAGTTTCAAGATGAGTGGTTATGTGAGGCTGACGCCGTTGTTCCAAAGGGTGAGTTCAGTAGGGGTTGATCACAGTACGTAAGTTTAGAAATTCGGAATGTTTGTTGTTTTTCAGTTGGGAATAAAGCAGGTGTTTGAACCAAATCAAGCTGATTTCACACCAATGACAGATCAAAAACAGATTTACGTCACTAGTATAGAGCAAGCGATAACAGTGAACATCAAGCACTATGTGGACATTGAAAGCATGATCCGTAAGTATCACGAGAAAAAACTGTTTTGCGGAATAGTAATTTTTAGATACTGAACATAAAGGGCTAACTCCGACCCTGTGCAAACATTTGAAAAACTCAAAAAAGGTCTCTTTGAAAAGGGGAAATCTTGGGCCAAGATGACTTGCTTTTCAGGATTTTCAACTAAATTGGCAGGCAGTGACGTCAACTTCCGAATTTCAAAGGAATAATAATTTATCTTTCACAATTTTAGATTCATCTCTTCATTAGAGTCATCTCTTTATTAGAGTCACTTTATTGCTATTATTGTCTTGCTTTCATTGTGCATAGGTATGTGAAAATTACTTCTAGTTGAACAATTAGATCAACAATAAGTTAATCTGTAGTATTACCTACTATTCTGAGCATTCTTTTCTTACCATAAAATCAAATAGTCAAAGGCAAAAGCAGATGGACAAAAAGATTCTGTAAGATACTGACATCTGGCAGATGATATTTTGATATTATGGATACCGCGGTTACCAAACTAGCACATATATATCTGCTTAGCAGCACTGAATACTCAATCTGTATGGAAATATAAAAATGTTCTCGAAAGTTGATAATACAATATGAATATGATTAAAAAGATGGCTGTGACTCACCCAAAAAGGATATCCATGAACGTGAAGACATATAGGTACACCTATAGAATGCTACATCATCTAATTTTATAACGAGATCAAATTCTGAAACACAAATAAGGCGTTTTTCACTCAAATAAGATTACAAAAAATACTTTTTCAAAACATTTCCTTCTCAAAGCACTACTCAAATCTCAACGGAAAGAACGGTGAACACCGTTGACAGGTGACAAGTCCAATGCTTTTTCCGGTCGTGGCTACTGCCACGACGTAACGGTAACGATAGATTTCTCGTTTCAAAATAGAAAATTAGATATATAGGTATCAATAATAACCAAATTGAGGAAAAATACGTAAAATTTTTCGGTCGTAGGAAAGATGGGATGAAAATGACGAAAATGCGGGATTAGATATCATTTGACTGGGTTTTAAATCGAATCAAAATTGTGAAAAGCATAATTTATCTGTACTATACCTATTAGAATTTTTTTACTTCACTTTTACCATTATTTGTAAGTATTTTCGGCAGTATATAAAATAATTGTCGATTATCTTCTTGCTTGCACATATGGTAATTATCCCAGGTAATTGATCACTTTTCTCATTGTCTAGAAATGGATTGAAGGTACATTGTATATTGCAAAACGCTATTATCAATTAAAAGTTTAGGCAACCATTTCTACATAAAAGGAATCCGAAAAACAATTAAAAGCAGAGGAAGTCGCTAAATAGTGATAATTACGTCATTACAACAGTTTTAGGGCAAGGATATGTTTGTTCTTACGAATGTATCATCATGTCGTGATATTATATGGATGTTTATTTTTTAGCAAAAAATTCGTACCTTTGGGAATTCAAGGCAAATCATCCCTTCCTGTTTTTCGTCATGGATTCGGAATTGCAGGTTTCCCTTATGTCAGGAAAAGTAACAAATCCTCTCAATACCAGGATAAGTTAATATAGTGGAAACAAATTAGAATAGTTAAATTTGTATCTATATTTTGTACATACATTCACCAATACAATTTCATAAATATAAATAATAATTGGTCTTCCTTATTTCCTTTATTCTTACCTAAAAAAACATCCCACAAATGATATTGAGTAGGTAATTTAGATATATTCACTCTTTACTTACATTTTACCATTATCCAGCTTCTTCAAAATGCAGTTGATAATGACTCAGGTGATCATCAATCAAGGTTCTTATCCCTTAGCTACTAATTAAGATCTACTAATACGTCTCAGAGACGGCATATCAGCATCCAATTTGTTGGATTACCACTGCTTTTCAATATCGGCCATTGTCCTACTACGTAATTTATGGTTATAATCTTTCTATATGGTTCAGTTTTAGAAATATCTTGAGTGAAAGATAGATTCCCTTGTCGTCGACGTATAGTTAGTTGTTACGTAACAATAAAAGTTTAATTTCGCCTATAATACGTATGATTTCGACTATATCTAGATGAACAGGCATTGTCATTTTTTTCAATTTGCATGTTCATGACTTACTTCTGTCATATTTTATTACGACTCTAAACTGTATTCAGAATGACAATAATATCATCGATAATTTTAGTATTTCAGTTTTATTTTAGTATTTCTATAGATCAATATGTCGAAATTTTGAACATTAGGTACTCCTCTATTAAATTTTGATCGCCACTGAAATTTGTATTTCTATTTCAAATTTGAACATCATTTTCTCTTCGAAAAATATGTAGAGAACGTGTTTGATTAACTCACAAAAAAAAAAAAATGGATTTATATGGACATTTAAATAGTCCCGTCTGTCGTCTAGTTAGTGACAACGTTATATATTTGGAACGTTAGATTGTCGATAAACTAGAGAAAATATCAACATTATGACCAAATTTATTCTTCTCAAGTTTTTTATATTCATTTGCTCCCATCGATCTTTTTCAATTCAATTCTCAGAATGTATTTCTGACTTATTTAGGGCAGAAGGACTGTTCTCATCAAACTTCAATACCTTTTTCATTATGATAGATTCCAATATAGGTACGGATAAGAGGGACTTCCCTGGTCTGAATCAAATAATGATCTCTTATGGTCACTTTTGGTCCACTAACAATGATCGTGGGGGCATTGTTAATCTGTGGTGGGGGTATTTCAACACCCCACTTTATAATAGGTGGTAATCACAACCAAACACTAATGACTCAAAAACTCGCATTTTAAAAATGCTCACTAAAGACGCCTGTGATAAGAAAAGGAATATTCGCTTTATACTAAAAAAACCAACAGGGGTATAATTTGCACCAATCACCATTTATTTTCGAAACTGTTTGAATTTTGTAAAACAAATCACTAGGATTTCCTAGATCACGAACTTAGGAGAATACCTGAAACAACAAATCACCAAGTTGCTTAAAAGTATGTTATCATCCCAAAATTATCACTAGTGAGGTAAGTCGGTCTCGTGGCTCCAACAGTTCTTCAAGTTAACGTAAAAGGCAATAAAATATGTTTTTGGCAAATGAATAAAACAAAATTTTCTGTTCCATTGTTTATTTGACAGTCTGACTCAGCAAATCAACAAAGTCATCTCATTAAAAAGAATCTGACATGAAATTTCTAGTCAAAGAGACCGAAACCCATATCGTCGTCCTCCTCCTCGGATTCCTCTTTCTCTACCTTCTTGGCTTCTGGAGCAGCCGCAGTAGTAGCAGCAGCAGCAACCGGAGCTGCAGCAGCTGCAAACTTGCTGGGATCCTAAAAAAAATTAAAAAATACTTAGCACAGCTCTAAATAGTGTGTTTTGGGGATCATGTATTTTCTGTTATCAGTGTAGGTTTCCACAGGTCCTCCATATTTATGAAAGGTTTCAGAGACGAAAAATAAATCATCATAGAAAACAATTGAAAAAAAATCATTCTCAAAACAGAGATGTATAGAAATTCAACTGGTGCGCTTGCTCCCTATTGAAGGTCGTTTGCAAGTTTCTCGATGGCGCCTACTCTGACACTTGACGTGGGTAAATCTCGCTAAGCTCATCCTGGTTACAATCCATATTTACAGGAAACATATTACCGAGCGATACATATTTGGATACGTATATCGTATATGATTTGGATCAGAGCAGTGAACTGATTCCTGATCAAAGGATCGAAACGTCAACATGTCAAAAATATTCTTGAGCTGAAAAAATGGTTATTTCTGAGATTGGGGTCAAGTATTACTTAGGGACGTGTTCCGTAGTTTCTAAATTTTGTGTATAATACCTAATTCATCATAGAAAAAAGAAAATCTCTGTTCTACAACAGTATTATTTCAATAATTTGAAATATTAGCGTGAACTGGTGTGAATAAATTCTAAGGTGAGTACCAGTTACCATATCTGCCTATTATGATTTTCGATATTGGTCTATTTCAATAGTTGATACATTCTTTGTTCTGGTTCTTCAAAGAGGAAATTCATCAGATTTCATGCTTTAAATAGGTTCATGTCATGAAAGAAGTGAAGCTTATTAAAATCAGCTACAAAAAAGATTTCTTGCTTCTATTTCAAATTGAAATTTGAATGAAAATGTTGAGCACAGTATTTATTCGACCACAGAACAATGATGAAAATAGATTCATCCCTCACAGAACCAAGGTTTTGAACGATTTTCCGATTATGGCGCCTCTATCGCAAATACCTGAACCCCACGTTCAAAACTCGCTTGCAATTGTTCCAGAGTTAGTCTGATGAAACAATTGAAGAGAGGGCCCACCAGTTAAATTTCTATACATTCAAAACATTCTTCATGGTGTTTGACATGAGTATCAACATTTAATAATAAAAATATCAGGAAGACCAAAAAGTGAGGTGAGATGAGATGAACATCAAGATGAAAAATATGTTATTGATGTTAGTTTAGCAAAATCATGACTTTTTTTTTCAAATTTGTTTCCAGAGGCTGTCTTTGGAAACAAATTTGAAAAAAAAATCTTGTTTTGATATGACCAACATTGATGTTACAACAAATTGTTGATCAGTTTAACAACAATAATTCAAGAATTTGTTTGTTGACCTCCCTATACAAATTTCCAAGAAAATTTCAACATAATCCCAAGAAAGCTGAAAGTTAGGTAGTAAACAATAAATAAATAACATGTTTTTGAGAACTTAGTGATAGTTTTTTTCATATTATTAGGTATGATACTGAAAAAAACTACTACTCCTTGATAAAAGCTTGTTTACATAATAAACATAATAATCAGAATCCATCAAAAAATCTTGATTCTCTTGACATGACATCTTCAACTGTCTTAAAAACACTTGAAGATTGTATAGAGTGAAATTTGCTCAACCATAGAAGTAGACTCCAGATTTGAATTGACTTGTAACAGTTGCTAGTACAATATTTTTTTCCTTCAAATTGGTAAAATCTTTCAAATTACAATTGGGTGTTTGATTTCAATATATTATTATCTTATTAATCAGATTGTTGTCATATATTTGACAAATAAAGGAAAATTATTGATGAAATTTCAAAGACTTCAATGACTTGTAAATTAAACTAATAATAATTATATGTAATACAACAAATTATTGAACAACAAATTTATGCAAAAATCAGTGCCATGTACAGAAATTATTCTATTTCTGTATATTATTGGAAATAAGAGCAAAAACAACTCATTGGACATTTCCCTTTTTCAAACCAACTATTATTTGATGACAAAAGCATTTGCCAAATGACATTCATTTCAACAAGAGGTATTTGCTGCCAACAAAGTAACACAAAATGCTCACCCTTTTCAAGTGAAACATGGTCAATTGGCACCAACCATTTGTCAGTTCAGGGTTAGGAGGATTTAAATCAACTGATTTTTTCAATTGTAAGCCTGATTTAAATCAAATTATAAGTTGCTGTAAGAACAAGTCCACAAAGCTAGATAACTCATCAGCAAATCAAAGAAAAAAAGCTTATTTCAAACTAAGTATTTAAATACATGAGTGTAAAAAGGAAAGACGCGAAAATTTTCATTTCAACACTTATATTTTTCTATATATATATAGCAATTTTCGTAAATTTTCCAGGAATTTTGGGGCAATAAATAATATATCACTATGTCTCTGATTTCTTTATGCTTACTGAACTGTACTTGGAAGAATTTGTTGGTTCACAACTTTATTGGCGTGATTTTGAAGTTCACTATTTTCATTTTCAAGGAATAAGTCAGTATAAATCAACAAAACCAGTATAAATTTAAAAAAAAAACATGACAATAAAAAAATTCACTCCTTCTTTTAGTTTTTCGAAAAAATCTTGATTTTTTGCAACCCTGAATATTGTTGATACTTGCGCCTATTTAATCCAAATCTTCAGCCTACCTCATAATGATGAAATGTCCAACTTCTATAAAAATATGGCCAATTCTCAACATTTCCTATACTCATTAATAAAAATGTAAGAACTTCACAAACGATAAGATTTGCACAAAATGAGAAAAAAAAACGGATCATCTGGCTATCTTACCTTGATGTACTCCTTGATGGTAGCCGCCTCCTTGAATTCCACCTCCGTGACCGCCGCCAGCGCCAGCAGATTCTTGAACCCGTTGGCGACACTGTGCGGCGCCGACGCCGTCGTCGGATAGCCGACGCTCAAACAGACGGCAGCCAAGTTGGCCACGCCGGCCAGGAACTTTTCGCGCAGGTCTTCCGGCCGGATGTCCAAGATGGCGGGCGCGAAAATGGTGCCCGAATCGAACACCTGCTCGACGATCAGACCGTACGAGAAGGGCGAGATGTTGAGCATGTTCAAGAGGGTGGCCTCGGAGGCGCCCACTTTGTCGCCGGGTTTCAGGATGTGCACGTCGTTGATGATTTCAATGGTTCCTGAAAGAGATTTATTCATTTTTTTCACCCTGTACCAATATTATTTCGAAGAAAAAGGTCATTGTGTCAGTTGCAGACTTATTTTAGAAATATTTTGGAAAGGGGACAAAACATTGGTCCTTCGAGCCGGATATTCTAGTTCACGGAGTTGACAGTATTCACAATAATGAGACGACGAAAATGCAGAGAAAAAGTAATAGTTTACATAATCCATATCCTTATACTAAGAGAACAACTGCTGGTTTTAGTAGTATACTAGAAAACAACTATGTATGGCTCTCTAGCTTTGGATTACATACAAAAAAGTCAATGTGACAAAATTTTCAATGAGGAAAATCAACAAGATGAAAAAGGAAAAGGTGAAATAGACAAAGATAAAAAATATTAACATAAAAATAAAAAAACTACAAAATATACATATTTGAACATATTCATATCACTGAATCAGTAGTTATTGAAACAAACTAACAATAATATGAGGTGGGTTTGAAAAAAAAATTGTGGGCAAACAAGTTTGCAAATGATTAATGCTAGTATTTGATGGTGAAAAAATTTGATTTGGCAAAAAAATTCGACGTTTCCTATGTTTTTCAGACACTTTTTGATTACCACTACCTGATGTTTCATCTTAATGGCACCAACATCAACTTCATTTTCTAATTATGGGCGCCATATTGGATTTTCATTAATAATAATAATAGTAAAATTGAGTAAATGAGAAAAAATGTTGACAAAGATGAAGAATATTGACATAAAAATAAAAAACTACAAAATATACATATTTGAGCATATTCAAATCACTGAATCAGTAGTTATTGAAACAAACTAACAATAACATGAGCTGGGTTTGAAAAAAAATTGTGGGCAAACAAGTTTGCAAATGATTAATGCTAGTATTGGTGAAAAAATTTGATTTGGTGAAAAAATTTGACTTTTCCCATGTTTTTCAGACACTTTTTGATTACCACTACCTGATGTTTCATCTTAATGGCACCAACATCAACTTCATTTTCTAATTATGGGCGCCATATTGGATTTTCATTTTATAAAAATAATTGAATAGCATGGTGAATCTGAAAATGTCATTGTAAATGTGCTCTTTTGATATTCTCCCACAAATAACACCAGAATAAAACTAAAAATTACCAAAATTTCTGTTGTTTTTCTTAAATCAATGGAAATAGTCAGAATCTGAATATTTTCTAAATTAACCATCTTCATATCTCCAATAGTTTCTGAGATCCTAATGATGGCCCTTGAAATTTAATTACCCTGTATAATAAGTCAATGCTCCAAGAGCAGCAGTAAAGGTGAGTATAGGGAGAGTAACAAGTAACCCTAGGATAAAAAAGCATTTTTTAATTTTCCAGGACTTTTTAGGCAATAAATAATACATCACTATGTGTCTGATTTAAATGTAATGACATTTTTGTGACAAACACCATTAATGGATAAATTTAAATCTTGTTGTCAGTTACTTAGTAAATTTCTTCTAGGGAGTCAAAAATAGAGATAAAAAATTCATTAATACCAAAAATCAAAACTAGGGCTCTTCCAAACATTTTTTGTAGAAAAGTGAGGGTCAAAAATGAACAATATATGTGGATTTTACCACACAAAAAATTGCAATTTCAGAGAAGCAACCAAATTTTCATATGGGACAAAATAAAAGTTGTGGAAAATATTAAGTTTTGAATACGAATCAAGGAGAATGTGGGTAAGAGAAATTTCAAAATATCAAGTTCTTACAAAATATGATGGATAATCAAAATTGCTGGATTTCAAGCACCCAATTCTTCATAGAGGTAATAGTAAAACTTATAGTACAAGAATTCATCATGTTTATTTGAAATTATTGGTTAGTTCAATGGTGTATCATTCTATTCATTGTTTCATTAACTATTTATGAAAACCTTATATCACATCAATCACTGGCTTGAGTGCACATCAGTGTAAAATTTCAGTTATTCAAAGTCTTGTCAATGATATTTAAATATTTTGGATTGATTCATAGATAATAAACAATATCATAATTCAAAAATACCTCTGTTATGGTCAAAAAAGAAGTTCAGTACATACTATGGTTAGGCAGTCCTTTCAAATCAGCTACATCACAAAATGTTGATATTTCTAATTTTGTCTTTCAATTTGTCTTGAAGACATAAAAGAACAGTGGTTCAACAATTCAAATACCAAACAATCCTGAAATATCTTAAAAATTTGGTCCTGTCCCCTTTTTTCATTTTTTAATATACACACCACTCTAAACATTTTTCATCTTACCCTATAGAGTCAATATCAATTTCAAGCTCAAAATATTGCAGTCCCAACAAATAAAACCTCATATTATGGTACTCACCCTTGGAGATCTTGGTGGGGATGCTCAGAGCTTGAAAGAAAGAGGTCTTCTCTGGACCCAACCCAGTGTTCTGGGCTGGAATGACAACAGGGAGTGGAGCAATGGCCCCAGCACGAGCAGGAGCCCTAACCTTGTTCTCCAGCAACTTGTCTCTGATCTCCACAAGATCATTACGGGTGAAAACAAACCCGACGTTGCCTCTGATGTGGGGCAGGATTTTCTCCAGAGAAGGGTTGCGCTCCACATGACCCTTGATGGCTTTCCTCATCATGGTGTTTTTGCCCATGAGTACCACGGCACTGCCACGGAGAGATATACGGATTTGCTGCATTTGCTTGGAGCCGACATTGTCAGCGCCTACGATGAAACACTTCGGGTAATCTTCCAGAAGTTGCTACAACAAAAAATACAACTCAGACAATGGAAACCAACAGTTGAAAATACAGGGATTTGCATGGTAAATCAGATACAATTTTCTACATATGTCTCCCACATACCAGTAGGTTCTGCTATTTCTAGCTCTGGTATGAAGAGGAAGCCATTCGGAACTGCAAATCATCATGTTAAAAATGTTACCAATACCCGACATGCACAAAAAATAAATTATACAAAGATACTTACAATGAGTTTGGTGAAGTAGTTAGACTTCCAGGTTGCCTTGTCCTCCCTACCCATCTTGTAGTGGTTAGGGACTCGTTATTTCGAATTTAAGAACTGAAATAGAAAGTTGTATCACCATCAAGCATCATGTTGAAGTGTTTAACCTCGAAACAGATTCCACTCAATTTCATCATCTTCACAAATATAATCCCAAAAATAATATGTAGATTTATTTCGAAACAATGTACCGAACAATAAACAAGACATTTTAGCAGAATTACTTTCAAGATGGATGAAATATTTAACAATTTTGAAAAATATTCCTGAGAGAGATCTTACCTTGGCAAAGAACACAGACGCAAGAACAAATTTGCTTGTTCGCACTTCGCAGCTAGAATGTCATGTCAGTCTTTGTCGTTTGTCATTGTCTTGTCACTCTTGTCAATTGTCAGGTGAGTCGTGTCGTCTTCTTCTTCTTCTTAAACTCTTTTTATTTCCCACGGCTTTAACCAGTAGGAGATAAACAACAGGTGTTTATATTGAGTTCATTGGTAGTAAATCTAAGGGTAGGAATTGGTAAGAGCTAATATGACGCCATGAATAAGTCAAAAATTAAATTTTTGACTGAACAATTGTTTTGGAAAGGTCAGTGAAAGGGCCAAAATCTCACAGTTGAGATTGGAGTTATTGGATAAGTATTTTCTGCAACTAAAAATGTGGAGGCAGAGTTTTGTAAATTATTAGATATTTAGTTGAACGGCTTACCTTGGTGCGCTAATAATATGGCGTCAGTCCACTGTGTTCATTGGTGTGTCAATAATTTAGCCTTTTTCAATGTATCACGTGATTGATTTTGATTTGAGAATGCTTCGTAAACATTAGCACAGAAATTGTTGGGTATTCTGTGACTTTAGGTTGCCGTTCGTCTCAATTCGAATTGAAAATTTGAACGCAAGTTAATTCAATTTTTATTACTTTCATTTTTGTACAACTCATATCACATAGTTCACAATTAATGTATTCAAATATGCTTAAACTAAAGAGTGGTTAAAGAATGAACTGAGTAGGATATAATAATATCTTATCGTTAAAACCATGGATGTCAGGGCAAATGTTTCATGCATGATGAATACGCGTATCTATTATGATACTTTCGCTATATATTCTTACCTATTACCTACCTACATAATTGAAAGCATTTCCATTCATACAGTTTCTATAAATAGTTTATAAAAGGAAAATTTTCAAGTATTTTGATTAGGAAATCTAAAAAACTAATGAATATAAAAAAATTGAGAGAGTAGAATATTCAAGTTATCCTTAACCCATCTATATAGTCAACCAATCTCTGAGTCAACCAATGACGAAGAAGATTAAATTTTCAGAAGTGGGATCACCTGCTTCTCTCCTGATAATCTAAATAAATCTACATATATTCAACTTCCACACACGATATAATGGTTTTTGACATTATATTTGAAAAATTAATCAGTGTATTCAGAAAACGGACACCCTGTATAGACATATATGACCCTACACTCTCATTTTGTCACATAGTACACTTTTATAGTAACAGGAAAAATCATCAACTCCAGTATAAGTAAGTACACAACTGTATTTTATTTTGTATTGAAACAGCCATTTGAAAATATATATGATCATTCGGAAATATAGTAATATCCTGTATATATTGAATAATGGTCGGATTATGTGACCATCAGTGTCCTGATCCTGATATATTCAGACTCAAACCAGGGTAATTCAGTTTTATCAGAAAAAAATCACTTTTTCTCCAATCGACTGAAAAGTTGTACATTTTTGTTCCAAAATTAGCTCTTGAAGTTAACGATTCTCTCACTGACGACACTTTTAGTGTCTAGGAGCTAAAGTTGAAGTTTAACTCCTAGGAACTAATAGACCTGTCTCCGATGACAGCTGATATGAAAGCTGCTTTGAAACTGACATGCCCAATTGAGTCAAAATAGTATGGTCACTTCACTTATATATTTTATTGATCAAAAGTTACTCTGTTTGACTCGCATTTGATCCTAATAAAACAAAATGTATTATTTTAAATTTACATTGAGTAAGTACGATAATCAGAATAAGGTCTGAAGAGGAATAAAATATGGTTCGCAAATGAAGAATTTTTGACAGATATATGTATATTGTATATATCGTAAAAACGAAACCCAATTTCAATAAGAGATATGCATGTCGAACAATAAGTCTATACCAAAACTTGAACATAATATAGATTTCCTTTCATGGGCAGATAAAAAAGTTATTTCAACTGATATTTCCTTAATATTTCTCAGGTATAAATAATTTTTTTCGGAAAAATATTTGAATTACCCTGTATATAGAGAATAATATCGTTCATGAATCAAATTGAGTCTTATATAGTATATATATATATGATGTATTATGAATTAATTTTCCATCATGTTCCATACATACTACTACTTACAGTACGATGCCAATATATGTTGTATATCTAATATATTAACTAATAGTTACAAGAATTCAATTGGGAACCGATCCAGCAGTTCCAAAACAAACAGAAACACATATTTATCAACAATTGAAATTATTATCATTTTGTTTTTTTGGCGAAGTTGGTCTGCAACTTTTTTAGCTAAAGGAAGAACGCACACATCGATATATTACAGATATTTTATTTTATTAATGACCTACTAAATAAATATAGATCTTTTATTGCAAGCCTTTTACATATTTCTTGTATAGTATCTGTGGAAAAAAGCCCTTTTTCCGAGGTTCATCAACATCTGCCTGTTGCGATTCGCACCTTCTTTTGCCTTTTTTCTAGCCACCTCCAGCAGCAGGCGATTGCGCAAAACATCCAAAGAGTTGACAATCGACAGAGACCCACCATTCTCCACTCTACCCGCTCGTTTGTATCTCGATTCAGTGCTTGAAAATTCCTGAAACATTTTTCAGATTATTTCGAAAACCGAAAAAATATGATGGGGTTGTCGAAAAAACCCAGAATTTTGATTTCGAATAATAACTTATACAGTCAGCCAGCACCGGATTATGTAAAAAATCTGAATCACGTCAACTACATCTTCGAGGAGGACATCGTTCTAAAATGTTTTCAGCCCTGCGGCGTTGCCGCTTCTAACGAAAAGAAGCAACAACTTTGTTATTTCAAACAGAACACCTTGTATTTCATAGCATTTATAGATTCTCCACGGAGAGCTGATTTCACCAATGCATCACACTTGGGGTCTATAGGGAATGATTACAGATATATATAGGGTGTTCAAAATCGAGATTTCTCAGCTTTAGGATTTGTTTGTGTCGAAACTATTTATTATTGGCTTTCATGTCCCTTTCTCAACTTTTGATTCACTGCTATCAACTGACATTTAATTGGAACAGATACAGGGTGATCAGAATTCTGAATAACCACTCTAGCTGTATTTGTTTCAAATTAATGTCAGTAGATAGTGAGAGATGAGATCGGGTTATATGAGCCGTTTTGACCAATAATGAATAGTTTCGACACAAGAAAATGCTAAAGTTGAAAAATCTCGATTTTGAACACCCTATATCCCTGAAATCATTGCAGCTAGATCCCAAGTGTGATTCATCGATGAAATCAGTTCTTCGGGGAGAATCTGAAAATGCAATGAACTACAAGGTGTTCCATTTGAAATAACAAAGTTGTAGCTTCGATCTTTTCGTTAGAAGCGGCAACGCAGGGCTGAAAGTAGTTCAGATTTCTTTCATAATCCGGTTTTGGCGACCTACAGAGCCTCTGTTTCGCTTTCGAAGGGCCACCCTGTATATATGCGTTTACCCATTCATTTTGGTCTCGTTTGATAGACAGTGGAAGACCCTGACTAAATGTTTTTTGCTGCAAATGACAAAAAATAACGAGCTTCGTGCATTGATAAGGAAATTGCGAAGTGGTACTTTTTTCCAGTTTCCTATATATTAATTACCACGACACCATCATGTACGAAACTGTGCGCCAAGTAAAACTATATTAGATTTTTGTATTCAATTTTTATATGGTCCTCAATCGAGCGAACATCGAAGAAATCATGCATTTCTGAATGTTTAACAAACTTTTTTTTTATCTCTTGGACCGCACAAAAGGAAATACCTATAATGTTCGTGGAATATCGTGCGTACCTACCTTGTAAGCCATTTCAACACAATTTTTCATATTCAGCTGAGCATATTACTACTTCATAACTATATTTTTTGAAAAAAAAACTAGAAGTAAACATTTTGTTCGCAACTCGTGCGCGAAAAACTTAGGTCAACTCGAATATTTTTTCAACTCGGCTGCGCCTCGTTAAAAAAATCAGTGCTCTATCACCAAAGTAGCATTTCGAGTACTAGATACAAAAATAGCTATTGAATTTTTTCAAGAAAAAAGACAGCGGACACACCTAGATTTGGCCAATCTTTGAAACTCAATCAGATTTCAGATATTAATTCAGATTTTTCGAGTATTTAGCGCATTTCTTCAAAGTTTGTGTATAGAAAATGCTCGTTCTTTTGTTGAATGTTGCTCTTTTGTGTTATCAACATTGTTCTATAGTTTCTTCGTCTGTTGTATGATCGAAAGTTTCTCCCAAGATGGTTTCACAAATATACAGGGTGTTCCAATACATTTATCGTAAAATGCAGGATGGTATTCCTGGTATAATTATATAAGAAACAACGTTTTTTTGGACATATTTGGTTTGGAGGGTATGGCTGACCAAATATGGAAGAGATTGAGTAAAAGGTATGTCTTGACTTGATCACTGCGAACAAGAACAACAAATGGAATCGATCCATGAATAAAATAGTTAATTTTTAGAAACAAAATCTCGTTTTTTTTTTGGCAACCCTTGTTCATCATTTTTAAAGCTATTTTTGGAAGATAAAAAATGTCCAAAATAAATATTCTCGATGATATCATTTTTCTCCAAATGACATAGAAAGTGGCTTCACAATGATACTTGGATACGCCTCGTGCTTTCCTGCTTAGTAAAACAAAACCAATTTTGTTTAATTTTTTATTGAAAACTCCATAATTTTTTTGCTTAGGCAGAGAAAGTACACCTTTGCTGCCTGTTAAGTGTCATAGAAAATCCACTTTCTATGCCGTTTGGAGAAAATAGTTATTCATGCCATTTGGAGAAGAAATTATATGTTTCACATGGCATCAAAGTAGATTGACTGCCTTGGGGTTTCGTTTGAAATTTAAATAATACCCATTACATTGTTTTCGCATAATTTATTAATTCTAGCAACAAACATTTACTTATGAACAAAACAGTGTATAAAATATTCATTATACTATAGTCAAAATACAATAAAAAATGTACAACAATAATA